TCAATACACACACGGTGGGGAAAAACAAATGCTTTTCTTTTATAGATTGTCGAGAGTTGTTCGACAATGCGTCAGGCCTTGAATTCGGGTTTGAATGAGAGACTATCGACATGACTGAAGGGCCTATTATTCAGAATTCGAGAGTAAGAGAGAGAGAGAGAGAGAGAGAGAGAGAGAGAGAGGCCTGACGCGACATTTTACATGTATATCTTTTTTCTACTAACACTGACGTCTCATGAGGGAAAGATTTTTTTATTTTTATTTCAACTCCTAAGCGTCAATTTTTTCTTACCCTCGAAAAAAAAGAACCAGAAATCCCTCTTCACCCATCATTTATCCCAAGACAATTTTCTGATGTGTGAGAAATCTCCGAATATTAGATTCATTTTTCAAAAAGCACATTTTTCATATTATATATATATATATATACAATATAGGAAAAGTGTTATTGAAGTAAATTGTGAGAGGCAGAGAAATTGTTTTTTTTTTTGAAGTTATGTTAACCAAACACAACTTTATGCTTATCCACTGCCAGACATGATTGAAATTTTAAATTGACTCAAGAGATTTTTGGTGTGTAACATAACCTTAAAAAAATTTAGTTTTTCAGTTTCTAAAACTGTTTCTTTAACATATTAAAAATTAGTTTTAATTTTGATTATAAAACGTCAGTGTGAATAAATAATAAATAAGTAATAAATAAATAATAATAATAAATAAAAATAGTAATAAATAAATAATAATAATAAATAATAATAAATAATAAATAAATCATAAAAACGATAGAAATTCACGTATAAAAAGTCTGTCTGACTAAAAAACACTTTGTCACTTATGTCTGACCAAAGCAAATTTGTACTACTTCCAAATGAGACGTCTTTTAATGTTTCTCTACTAACATACAAGGAAGCATTTACACATTCAGTAAAAATTTTGTTTTTAATTTTAATTTATTTTTTAATATATTATTAATAATAATAATAATAATATTTATCATAGTAATAATAATAATGATAATAATAATAATAATTCCTCTTATAAAAAAGAAGAAATGTTTTTCATTAATTCTAATCTTATTTTTTTTGTTTCAGATGGACACGGAAGAAATATCAAAAAAAGTAACGGACGGTTACGAAAAAAAGGTTTGTTTTATATTAATGATGAATAATAAATATAAAAGCAAAAAAAATACCAATTCTGGTGAAGCAAAATAGAAAAACGATTAAGGCATTGAGGGATTATCTCTGATATATAAATTAGGAATTTATAACATAACCTAAAATTTAATATTTTAACAACAACAATAATAATAATAATTTATAATCAATAAAATTAAACTAAAATTGATAACATAACCTAAAATTTAATATTTAAATAATAATAATTCCCATTGATAATCAATAAAATTAGCCAAAAATTTACAGCATAACCTAAAATTTAATATTATTTTGAATAATTATTCCCATTTGTAATCAATAAAATTAATCGAAAATTTTAAACCTAACCTAAAATTTAGTATTTCAATAATAATTCTTATTTATAATCTATAAAATTAATCGAAAATTTATAACATAATCTAAAATTTCTATTTCCTTTTTAAACTAGAAAAATAATAAACTACACAATAAAAAGTAAAAAAAATACCTTATAAACTTAAAAAAAAGCCATAGAATGACACAAATGTCAAGGATTTTTTTAAATATACTATAAATATTCATATATTATAATGTGAATGTGGAGAGATTGTCTATCATAACTTTTCCCATATTATATATTGATTTAAAAATATTGTCCAGATAATTCTTGATTTTCTCTAATAATAATAACAATAATAATAATAATAATAATAATAATATACCATATGAGTGAAATAAATGTATCGAAAAATTATTTCAAACTAAATATAGTTGAATTAAAACACACACACATGTGTTGCACTTGTTGGAATTTCGATAACAATCGTCAGTTAGCTATATATACATATTATATATAAACACGTTTTGTAATTGGATGAAAACGGAAATGAAAGGGAAACGTAGCCTCGTCAACACATGATTGGGACGTTTAATGTCGAAAACTGACTGCATACTTAAATTTTATCGATACGTTCAATCGCGAGAGAGAGAGATAGAGAGAGAGAGAGAGAGAGAGAGAGAGAGAGAAATGCTTCGAATTTGAGTGTAATTGTCATGTCGTCAAGAGAAATATGATGAATAATACATACACATATATTTCAAACGAATGAATATTGACAGTTTCAATCAAGGAAATGCTCTAGTTTCTTTTTTTTAATTTCGTCAATTTTTCGACAATGCCTTTTGAAACAATATCCAGTTAAATAAATGTAAATTCAATTTTTTCTTTGTTTGTCTAGTCGCAAAATAATAATAATAATAATGATAAACTAAACACTAAATTTGTCCAGTGTCACATTTCAGATGTTGCACCATACGCCACGAAGTAATAAAATTATTATAGAAATGTCACGACTTAATGTCCTCAAATAAGGACAAATGTGTGTTATAATATTCTAAAAAAGAAATAATTTTTTTGGCCAAGCATATGTGGCACAGTTGAGGTATTAAATAATAAAAAAAATTTTCCTTTTACGAGAAAGCAGGGGTTAGGTATATATAGTGGTTGTGATCTCAAAAGTCGTAAAAAAAACAAAGGAAGTAATCAAACTTGACCCGCAAAATTATTTCCCTTTTTCGTCTTAGGTCTTGTATAAACATAATATGATCAATATAAAGTCTCATAATATATAGAGTACAGTAAACTGTATGTGCCTGCATATTGACTAGCTATTTCACAAGAACTGTCACATATGGAAGGTCACATACAAAATATATATATATACAATGAAACAAGTAATGTCTTCTCAAGCAATCAGAATTTTACACTCAATACACACAAGTTTTAACGTTCTACAATTTTAACAAAAAAAATATCTTGAGATAATCAAGAATTGAGGATAATGTCTTAAGTAAGGACCTCTTAAGTTTTAACCTCATTAGGACCATGTAATAAGTTAGATGACAATTTTCGGAAAGAATGTCCTAAATTATGTTCTAAGTATAAAAAAAACCAATTTCAAAAAATCCTCACCTAAAAATTCACAAAATTTTTCCTAAAGAAATTTCATTTTTATGAAAACCACTTTCTATAATCTAAGGCAAAAAAAATTATGTTCTATTTGTCACTAAAGAGTCCTATAATTTAAAGAATATCCAATAAAATCCGTATAGACGAATGAGGTCGTAATCAATCATTTTTCCTCCCCCTCAAGTAATTAATAAAGATATTGACCGCAGTGAAGAAAAAAAAAAAGTTCCACCCTCTCTTTCTATATATATATATATATATGTCTATATGCCTTTATCGTACCTTCATATCTCATAAAAATCCAACTGATATAACATCTAATGACATTGTTTTTACCTTCTAAAATACATCATAATTAAACAAGCTAATGTGATTCTAATAGTATTAAAAATTAATGTTTTTCCTCATTTAAAAAAGAATAAATATTTCGTGTTTCATTAATCAAAAAAAAAAAAAAAAAAAAAAGATAAGAAACCATTTATAAAATACATATTCGTCCCCCCTTACGGTTATAAAAAAAAAAAAATCTCGACCCCAAAAAAATATAAATTTTCTCCAAAAAACAATCATGATTCTGATTTTGATCTTAAAATTTATTTTATCTATGAAAGGAATTTTTTATGTTCCCTATGCAAAAAATGATTTTATCACTAGTGGAAAAAATATTTCTTAATTGAAATGAAAAAATATTCGGTATTATATTTTTTTTATTCTAAATTATTTTTTTACCATTAATTTTCATTTTTATTCTGAATAGTTTTTTTTACCATTAATTTTCTTTTGTAAAATAGAAATAAATAAGATTCTTTATAAAGTAGTATTATTTTTATTTGTTGGCAAATATGGAATGTAATTACGCTAAGGGCATTGACCTCATCCAAAATGATTCCTAATGACCTTATAAGTATTATACTGAAATTTTTTTTTTTTTTATTAATTACAAGCTTTTTTTAATATTCTTTTCTTTGTTTCAGATACGGATGATCAAAAAAGTAACGGACGGTTACAAAAAGTTTGTTTAATATTAATAATGAGAAATAAATAAAAAAACAAAAAATACCAATGATAGTGAAACAAAATTCAAAATGATTTCTAATGACCTTAGAAGTATTATAGTACCAAACAATTTTTTTTTAATAAATTACAAGCTTATTTTAACTTTGTTTTTTTTTTTTTTGTTTCAGATGGCCACGGAATATCAAGAAAAGTAACGGACGGTTACGAAAAAAAGGTTTGTTTTATATTAATGATGAATAATAAATAGAAAAGCAAAAAAAAACCCAATTATGGTGAAGAAAAATAAAAAAAAACGATTAAGGCATTGAAGGGTTATATATAAAGTACGAGGGTTGAATATAAAAAGTCAAAAACGTGTTCAAAAAAAAAAAAAAAAATTTCCTCCAATACTTTGCGAAAAAGCGATATTGAAAAATTCCGCATCGTGTTTGCGAGTCTTTATTGAATAGCCGTTATATTTCTTTTTCTCTTTCTCTCTCTCTTTAATACATATAAATTGTTTTCATCTTTTTTTTGCTAATTTTTCTTTCAAAAAAAAATTTTTTTTACTACTTTTCTATCAATTTTGTATTTACTCCAAAAAAAAAAAAATTTTCCCACAAATATTGAAATATTCCATTCTATGGGTTTTAATTAAATTTCAAAGTCTAATTATTATATATAGAGCAAATCGATGCCCTCCCCCCTCTTAAAATTAAGTCACCGAAATTGAAAAAAATTGAATTTGTTAAAAAAAAGCCATTTTGAGCTAATCGAAACAATTTTTAGTTTGGTTTTTAAAGAATCTATTTTTGTAATAGAAATTTTAAATTTTTTTAGCCCTGAATAATTTTAATAAATTACGATTTAATCTTCATTAAAAATCATTTTGTACTTACAATTTTTTTTTTTTGAAGACTCGACTTTCCTGCGTGAATTCTCTCTCTCTCTCTCTTGGAGTTGAGCGATGCGGAATACCAGGCACTGATGTTATATGGGGCGGGTTCTGTAGACACCTTATCCGCGGTGCCTTTTCTTTATTAATTCTCTCACTCCTTTATCCATGAATCTTCGGGCAAAAATTTCTTTTTTTTTCCTCCGTAAAAAAAAATGGAATCAAAATTAAAAAGAACACTTTTTTTGTGGAGGGGAGGGATTAAAAAGGATACTTTATCTCCCTTGGAATATGGAAGCGAAAAAAAAAATAAAAATTAGCGAAAAAAGAATAGATCGAGGAAAGAAAAACCCACTTATTTGCTTATTCACACCTGCACTTTTGACCGCAACGGCAAGGACCCGCCCCGTACACCATACTACACAAAAGTGTAGTGTATAAAGAGAGCGTAAAATTTACTTTGCGATAACATTTCACAAATGAATTAAATATACCCCTACTATCGTAATTTCATTATCTTCCTTTTTTTTTGGAATCACCTTTGAAAAAAAGGGAATTTCGGTTTTGGACTCCACCGCACTAGCGACACACATACACACACACACACTTCGTTTCGTTCTTCGACTGCAATAAATCCACAAGTTTGGCAAACACCAAAAAAAAAGAAAAAAAAATAATAATTTTTTTAACACCTTCGCGACGACGACAGCCCTCGTTTCACTCTCGTTGATGATAAATTGAAAATTATATCTTCACCAAATCAAAAAAAGAAATTTCACGAAAGGCCCGTTTTTAAAACACTTGACAATATATTGACAACAAATCGTGATTCTTTCTTTCCCCTTTTTTTTAGATATATATTTTTTTTCAATGGCCCCCCGTTTAAAATTCTTTTCTTTTCGTCAACGAAGGCCGTCTTGAAGGTTGGTGTTGAAGCCGCGCTGAGGCGAACCGAGCCAGCGCAACCGTTAACTGCATGCGTGTTGCGCGCCCAACATCGCGCAGCGGACGTCTAGTAAACTAAATTTGCGTCCCTCTCTTCAACCAACCAACCACCACCAACAACCAAAGGAAGCAAGCAGACGACGACGACGACGCTGCGCTGGTAACTCCAAATCCGGCACACAACGACGCACCCGTAAACACTGGATCGCCCTACAAACCCGATTACTCAGTAACACTACTATCACACTAAAGTTGTGTATATATGTATGTGTGTGTGTGTGGTGCTACCGACAACGTCGATACGAAAACCCCCGGTCAACGTGGATCGCGACCTCCCGGCTATCGCACCTACGCATCCCCCCCCCCTTCCCTCTTTCTCTCTCTCCTTTTGCCCGTTCATCCCTCATTCTCTCTCTCTCTCTCTCTTGCTCTCTCTCCAATGCGCCCTTTCTTTACTCGGAAGCGTTTACATTCTCTCAGTGCAGATGCACTCAAATACACAAATACATGTACAAGAATGGCGGCTACCGGTACAACTGCACTCTCTTGTAAAACATAGAACCACCCCCCTCCCCCCCCTTAGACAGCTGAGATTAAAAATTTTTTTTCTATCTTTGTATAAATACAGCCCAAGTAACAAGCGCTTTTAGAAAATTTCGTCATATTTGAGCTGACATTTTGAATTTTGAAAAACTAACCTCCAATTCATAATTATAGCGATTTCAAAAAAAAACCATTCAAGTAACAATTTTTAAGCTAATTACAAATTCGAGGTTAGTTTTTTAAAATTCAAAATGGCGAAAGTTACTTTTTAAAGACCAACGCAGAAACGTAATCGGAATAAGGAATTAGAGAAGGACAAACGAATATGTCTATCCTTCTCTAACTCATTCTTCCGGTTGCGTTTGCGAATACGTTTCTATTCTGCTCAGGCCTTAAAAAAAAGTTTTTTAAAATCACTTGAAAATTTGTTATTTATAAAGGGTTTTTAGAGTCGCTGATTAATTCGAGGTTCTCGAATTCGATATGATTTTATCACTAGTGGAAAAAATATTTCCTAATTGAAATGAAAGAATATTTGGTATTATATTTTTTTTATTCTGAATTATTTTTTTTACCATTAATTTTCATTTTTATTCGGAATAGCTATTTTTTACCATATTAATTTTCTTTTTTAAAATAGAAATAAATATAAGATTCTTTATAAAGTAGTATTATTTTTATTTGTTGTCGCAAATATGGAATGTAATTACGCTAAGGGTATTGACCTCATCCAAATTGATTCCTAATGACTTTATAAGTATTATACTAAAAATTTTTTTTTTTTTTATTAATTACAAAGCTTTTTTTAACATTCTTTTCTTTGTTTCAGATACGGAAAATTAAAAAAGTAACGGAAGGTTACAAAAAGTTTGTTTAATATTAATGATGAAAAATAAATAAAAATACCAATTATAGTGAAGCAAAATTCAAAATGATTCCTAATGACCTTAAAAGTATTATATAGTACCAAACAATTTTTTTGTTTCAGATGACCACGGAATATCAAGAAAAGTAACGGACGGTTACGAAAAAAAGGTTTGTTTTATATTAATGATGAATAATAAAAATAAAAGCAAAAAAAAAAAATTCAAAATGGTAAAACGTTTTTTTTTCATTTTCAAGCGATTTTAGAAAATTTAAAAAAAAAACTTCTGCCATTTTGAATTTTGAAAAACTAACCTCGGATTTTGTAATCAGCGACTCTAAGTCCCCCCCCCCTTCAAGTATCAATTTTTAATAGTTTTTGGAAAATTTGTAAAATAAAACTTTTCGAAATTTTGAATTTTAAAAAGACTAACCTCAAATTTGTAACACAGCCACACAAAAAAAAGTACTCGGGCCGGGGAATGAGACCACCATTTCTTGATGTATTTTGATGCGCTGAACACGAATCTGAAGTCCGTTTAGCTCCATCACGTCAGGATTTTGACATAACCTCAAAAAACATAGCTGATTTTAAATGACAGGAGAAATTTTTTAAATAATGGCAGATTTGCTTGAATCTTGTTACTCGGGGGTTTTTGGGGTCGCTAATTACGAATTTAACGTCAAATTTATAAAATTCAAAATGACGGATCCAATATGGCGGACGAATTTTTAAAAAGTAGTTGGATTTTTACAAAAATTGGTATCATGGGGTTTTTTTGGAGTCGCTGATTACGAATTTAACGTCAGATTATTCAAATGTAAAAATGGATACCAATTTTCGTAAAAATCCAACTACTTTTTAAAAATTCGTCCGCCATATTGGATCCGCCATTTTGAATTTTATAAATCTGACGTTAAATTCGTAATCAGCGACCCCAAAAACCCCCGAGTAACAAGATTCAAGCAAATCTGCCTAAAAAATTTCTCCTGTCATTTAAAATCAGCTATGTTTTTTTAGGTTATGTCAAAATCCTGACGTGATGGAGCTAAACGGACTTCAGATTCGTGTTCAGCGCATCAAAATACATCAAGAAATGGTGGTCTCATTCCCCGGCCCGAGTACTTTTTTTTTGTGTGGCTGTGTAATCAGAGACTCTTAACCCCTCTCCTCCTCAACCCTATAGTAACAATTTTCAAGCAATTTTGGGTAATTTGTAAAAAAAAAAAAAAAATAGTTCAAAATATACTTGGGACAAGTTTGAAACATGTTATAAACATGTTTAAATTTTCATTGGAACCAGTTTCGAATAGGTTTCGAACAAGTTCACAATAGATTTCAAATAAGATTAATAAATGTGCTTTGAACAAAAATGTAAAATGTGATTCTAAAAAAAACGCAGAATACGATTTAAACAAGTTCAAAACATGTTTCGAAACGAATATTAAAAACGTTCAACAAGTTTGAGTTGAGTCAAGTTTGGAATAGATTTTAGATAATTACAGAGATTAGAATAGGTGTTCTTTTTCTTTTTTTTTTTTTGAAACAAATTCAGACTACCTATTTGTAATACAAGTTCAAAAATATATTTTTCGAACAAAGATAAGAATAGCATTTTTTAAATAAAACGAATTCAAAATTTAGTTCGGCCTTGTTTTTTCTGCTATTTATATATATTAACAATAGTTAAATATAAATGTTGATTATATTTATTGAAGAAACACTAAAAAAAAAATAAGAAAAGTACTTTATTCAGTTAATTTTGGACGTGGTTGCAAGTTAAAATATCAATTTTTAGATGCGGAATTGCAATCGATATCTAATTATGCAGTCAACAGATGTAGGAATTGATTTATTTTTACCTCGCATTTTGTTACTTGTAACTACATACACATACACACATATATTTATGAAGTTAAAGGAAGACAACATTCGAAGGGAAAAAGGGGGTGGGGGGGGTGGTTTAAAAATCAATACGTAGTTAAAGGAAAGCGTCTTTCTTTTTTTAAACCTAACAAGAACTTGACAAAAAAGAAAAGCCGGGAAATCTTTAATATATATATATATATATATATATCGAATTCAAACACAGGGGATTTTTTTTCTCTATCCTCTTATTCATAAGATAGCCATTTCTTTTTAATAAAAAAATATTTTCAAATAACTGTAATCTATAAACATGAGGGAATAAATTTTTCAAATGATTTTTGATTATGAATATAGATTTCAGATCGAGACTAGAATCATTTTTTTTAAATTATAATTTTCAAAAAAAAATTTTTGGAGTAAATTTTGAAACTGATTTTAAATTTTAAATTGTTCGAATTATTATTTAATATAATTTCCATAAAAACCGATTTTTCTGCAGAATTTTTAATCGAAAATTCATTTAACAGAATTTCTAATTTAATAAGAATTTTCATTTGTCCGAAATTGCAAATGACCGAAAAATCGATTTTGGCGCGATTTTTAAATTATCAACCAATCAAAAAAAATTAGCCATAAAATTGTGATTGGTTGATAATTTAAAAATCGCGCCAAAATCGATTTTTCGGTCATTTGCAATTTAGGACAAATGAAAATTCTTATCAATTAGAAATTTCGTTAAATAATTTTTCGGTTAAAAATTCTGCAGAAAAATCGGTCCTATTATTATGTTAAATGAAATTTCGAGCAAATAAAAATTCTGACAAATAAAAATTCGAATAAATAAAAATTCTGTTAAGTGAATTTTCGGTTATATAAAAAAAAAAAATTCTGTAATATAGAAAAAATCGTTTTCATGAAAATTCTCCAAAAATACTAATTCAAACAAATAAAAATTCGACTCAAAAATAATTATGACAAATAAAATAGATTTTTGAACAAATTTATAACGTGCTTTGTATGTAGTTTCAAAACAGATTAGAAATATGTTTAGAACAAGTACTGAATAAATTTTAAAATAGTTTCGAACAAGTTCTGAATAAATTTTTAAATAATTTCGAACAAGTTAAAAATAGATTTAGAAATGGTTCCTTACATGTTTCAAACAAGTTAAAAACGTGTTTTAAAATTGTTTTGTAACAGATTCAAAACTTGTTTAGAACAAGTGCTAAAATTGTTTGAAACAAGTACTGAATAGATTCGAAACTTGTTTGAAACAAGTACTGAATAGATTCGAAACATGTTTAAAACAAATACTGAATAGGTTTTAAAAATAGTTTCCAACAAGTTCAATATATATGTTTAAAAATTTTTTTTGGGACAAATTCGGAACTTGTTTAGAACAAGTACGGTTATAGGTTTTAAAAAGAAATAGTTTCGGACAAGTTTAAAATAAGTTTCAAACATGTTTGAAACAGGTTTTTGCCGTTTGTTGGAAATAAATTCAAAACATGTTCAAAACAAATGGAGAATAGGTTTTTAAAATTGTTTCAAACAAGTTATAAAATAGGTTCGGGACAAGTTTGAAATTATATTTTTTAACAGAATTAAGGTTCTCTTTGTTTTTTTTTTTTTTTTTTTTTTTTAAATAAAATACACACATGTCAAGGAAAAAAAAACGATTAAAACTGAAATTAATGTTGTATTACACCTTAGAGGCTGGAAACTTAATAAGATTAGTGCTCACTGGAGATGCTAAGTTAAATATTCTCTCTCTCTCTCTCTCTCTCTCTCTCTCTCTCCCCGAGGTTAAATCGAAATTGATTATGCCTCTTGACGTGAAAATAATTTTTTAATTTATTTTATTTTTTTTATGCTTACAAACATTGAGTCGATCTAATAAAATGTATTTTTAAAAA